ATGCACGTAGACTTCTGATTTCTACTTATAGAAATGACGCTTTGTAGCGCCTACAGCAGTGGTCTGGAAGGGACTATATTAATACAGTGATATTTTATGCATTTTAAATCTGTTTCCATGGTGGTAGAAGCACAATGTGAGGAAGGGACTCGGCCCTGCAAGACTTGCAGACTTTCTGAGGCAAACTGCAGCTTAGCACAGGACTATGCGCCTCACTTTTATGGATGTCTGCTGGTTTTTTACTGCTGTTTGCTCAGTGGGAAGCGCCGTTTGGGTTCCAGCTCTGCTCAGGCAGATGAGTATTGCCTGCGGTCTTCAATGCTACAAGCTGGTGCTACTTATGTATTACTGCCACGCAAGCAGTGGAGACGGTGCTAAAAGTGTGTCATCCTCATCATTAAATCAAGGCTTAGTACTGGACTAGGTGTCTATTAACTCCCATGTGCAAAGACGCGGCTGGAAGCGATGGCAGATGGAGGTTTGCTCATTCAAAGGCATGTTACTAGGCGATGTTTGCTACCTGTGGGCACGACTGCCACTTATGAGCTGGGCAGAGCAAGAGGTTTTTTGAACCTATGGAGTGTCCCTATTCTACATTTTGCTAGCCAAGGACTTTACATGGCTGTTGTAAACTCTGACATCTTCTACTGCCAGATGCATTATAAAGCAGAATCAGAATAGATGTGGATTGGGCTATCTATGAAATAAAGCTCTGATGCTAAAGTATTTATATAAAATACTCAGCTTTGATATGCAGCCCTAAGACCTTTGTATATAGTAAAAAAAAAAAAAGTTAATTATTTTATTTCTGCCGACTTAAAAAACAAACAAAAAGATCCTTTCTGGCCAGGTACTGCCATTGCCAAATGTGCATTTCAGTTAAACTGTGATGTGTTTACATTTCTAGATAATAAAATTCTTTGGTTTATGGGCTACCAGAAGATAGAAAGCTAAGATTAAAGTCTCAAATTTGATTGGGGTTGTTGTAAAGTAAGGGCAATCAGGAAACAATGACTGTTAAATCAATTCTTAGTTATTAGTGTGTTTTAGAGAGGTTCAAGCTTTTGTCAGCCTTACTGTCTTCTTTTTTTTTTTCTTTGTCATGCATCAGGGTATGTGATTGCTATTGAATCTTTTCGTTAGTTTGATGGAGGATGAGGATGGGTAGTTATGTTTTTAAGGAGCCTATTCAGCGATGACAATGACACAAAAGACAGCAGTCTGCTTTGATTCCCACCTTCTGGAGATTTCTTTTGCAGAAAGCATACATAAAATAATATTGCCAGGATATAAATTCAACGTGCAAGGACTGCGTAAGTAATGAACACCTCTTCTCCTGTGCAGCCACCCGGCCATCCAGAATCCTCTTTGTCTGTTCAGTGACATATGAGATGCTAAGAGTCTTTTATTTTAATCTTCCCACCTTGTTTTTGATAAACTTGGCTGCAACAGCTTTTGAAAGAACTTTTTATGATTTGTTTAGGATATTTATGCTGTCTTCATTACCCCAGTATCTCAGCATTTCAGCATCTGCACTTACTACTCCGCAATGTACATGTAAGTGCCATTATCCCCACTTTACGGAAGAGAAACTCGAGGACAGAGTGGCAAAAGCCATTGGTACAAGGGCTTTAGGAGCCAACCCCACAAAAGGAAGGATCGAAATCTATCTTGCTCTTTTGTCCTTTCTGTGTTTCCCTT